GAGAACAAGAGGTAAGCGTTTTAAGAGAACTGGCCAGAGGAATGTTTTCTAACTCCATGGAACATTTGGGAATTTTTAACAATTTATGAACTATGATTTTAAATTTTTGGTCTTATTAAATCTTAAAATGTATGACTTTGATATGCAAGTTTGAAATACATTTAGGAGCTGTAGTCTAAATTGAAATAAATAGGCTTATATATAACTGCTTGGGTATGCACTAGACTTTAAATGTATGTACTTCTCTGGTTACATTTGTCACATTTCTTTCTGATGATTAATGTGGTTGCATTTTGGGTTTTTTGTTTGTTTGTTTGTTTGTTTTTTAACTTGAATTTATATTACCAAGTGTTAGGAACTCTTTTAGTGGAGTAAGAAAAAATAAGAATCTCTTCCTCACAAATTAATGCTAGTGAACAAAATGCCAGTGAAGTGTTGTCTGAACTGATGCGTGTGTTTGTTTTTCTTTCCACCTCTAATAAGCTCATTGTGTACCAACTTTTTTCTCAGAAAGAAAAAAATGTGTTAAAATATTTAAGCCACAGAAACATTATCTAAGTTCTTTCTCCTTGCTTAAGTATTTCTCCTTGCTTTAATTTTCTGACGTCATTTTGGCTTTTTAAAGTCTTTATGAACATTTAACAAAATTATTTTTTGACATTTTATATAATCTTGGCATTTAACACTATATGGTATTCTGTATGTATTATGTACTGGAAAGTATTTGTACTATGTACTGCAAAGTATGAACTGTTGGTATATACCACGTTGTTACTTATGTAATAGAAATAATATTCCTGYATTCAGCTAACTGTATACCTCTGGATTGTGGTAATGGGTCTGCAGACGTATACATATGTCAAAACTTATACGTTTTTACATATGTGCAGTTTATTGTATACCTCTGTGAAGCCATTTTCATACATATCTACACACCTTTTGGCAGTTAAAATAGCTACCATCTTTAAGAGAGAGGTATGCTTTTATTTAGTGTGGATTGCCTTGTATATTTGTTTGTTTGGTTTTGGTTTTGGTTTGTGGGCTTCAATGTTCTTTAAATATATAAGTGTTTTGTTTGAGTGAAACAACTCATACATACAGGGTCATCAATGTTTATTCTAAAACTGATCATCTTTTGGCCCATCAAGAACTAGGCTTTTTTATTTAGTTTTGGATATGGGCCATGTTTCTGTCATACCTTTATTTGAAGATTAAAAACACCAAGAATGTATTGTTTTAGAACAGCTTAATAATTTGAGTTATTTCTGTTTCCAAGTCTAAAGAGGAAAAAACCCATGTGATCATAACTTATTTTTATGTTTTTTGAAAATAACTTTATTTTTACTCTTCTGATTTTAAAGTTCTCCTTAGGTAGGAAAGAATTGTTAATCTAGTAACCCAGAACAAATAAACCCAGACACAAACTGACTTTTTTGTCTTGATTCAATTGACCATAGAAAAGTCAATGTCCTAAAATATACTCTCTAAGTGGCATGGTTAGAAAAACCCTTCTTGGCAAAAAAGCTAAATTCAGACTTTAAATGTATGTACTTCTGTGGTGTTACATTTGTCTGTAAAATATATCCTGATAAAAAACTAAATTAATCTTAACAATTTTCTGTTTATAGACATCCAGAAAATATTTTAGGGCACAAAAAGCTGACTATAATTGAATTATGAAAAGTAAGTATAAGCCCAGTGTAAAGGCATATTTCCTGTGATAATACATGGGACTGTCTATCTAAACTGGATAGTCTGATTAAAAATTAACCAAAACAAACAACAAACTTATTGTGAAAGCATTGGGTTTTTTCCCCTTCCAAGTGAACTTTATCCCTGGTGAAAAATTGTCTACAGTAGAAAGTCTTTGAGCATGGAAACCTTATTGGTATTCTTTGTTTATACCCATGATTTTCAGATTATCTTTTGAGGAAGGAGAGTTATTGAAATGTCTTTTGAGGAGAGTTATTGTTTCAATATCCACATCTGTTCTAAGCTTCTTGTATTCACCATAACATGCCTCCAGCACTTCAAAATAAATACATCACCACCACCAAAATTATCTGAGCCTTCTTTAGGTGGTGGGAAGTTATGCATATTCCTATTGTACTTTTTTTTCATTGCCTCCAAATACCTTATCTATTTCCTATAAGTATTAAGAAGTGAATATAGATGTAATACCAGTTCTCTAAAAACCTTGTCTTAGAAATATGTTTTGTGACAGTGACACATATTTGGATTTTTAATAATAAAATTCCGATCATTGAAATGGTTCAGAGGATCTGTAAAGAAAAACTTTTTTTTTTTCAATTAGGACTACTACTTAGGTTTCTAAGTCACATGGGCCAAATCATAACCCGTGTTCCAAAAGGGATAGGTTTTTTTGTCCCTGCTTTTTAGGTAACCCATGAATGCCTAATCAATATTACTTTTCCACAAAAATTTTCTGCATTTTTTTTCAAATAGCATATGAATTCTGAAATTGGCAGTAGGCCATTTTCAGTATTGCACTGTTAAATTTCATAATCACACTTTTAAAGTTATTTTATTCCTTAAAATTTAACTCTTTTGAAATACATGTATGCYAAAAGGCCTGTGTTGTATCTGACAAACTTTCTTCCTATATGTTCTTTGACTAAAGCAGGAAGGTTTTTATCGTGTCCCAAAAAATATGTACAAAAAAGTGTGGAGGTGTCCTTCTCCTCTCCCTTCCCCCACTCATATTTTGTGACTTAGCATCATCCTTTCTTGGCAAGCACTTTAGGCTTGATAAACTTGAAGTGTAACATGTCCTTTGTGGAGAAACAAGATTATAGTTGTTTTTAARGAACCATGCAACTTAATCACCAAATATTGCTTGGCATGATAGCCCACCACCCTAAGGAGACTGAATAAACAAAGTCCATGTTAGTGTCAGAAACATGCTGTGATATATTTATATCTAAATCTAAATTCTTTAGTTTTTTTAATATTACCTAATTTTTAATTGCCAGGAAATTAATAGTTGTATGATAACTAATTCTATAAAGATAAAAAATTTTAACATGAATTTGATTTCATGTAATAAAATAAATATCAAAAATTCTTTCTCCCCAAGCTAAACTAGCTTCTCCTTTCAAATTCACCAGGAAGAACCTTTTCAAAGACTTTTAAATTTTATGATTTACTGGGAAGTCAAATGTGTTACACTTTAAACAAGGAAGAGCAGCTAACTTCTGTTTCCAAAAAGCAGAACAGAACTTTCTGACAACTGCTTTGTTTCTAGTTAATGTTGGCATATCTTACTTTGTGAGGTAATCTTATCTTCATTCAAACAGAAGACTCTTTGTACTGTCTTTACTAAATGGAAAGGAATGCCTTGCACTGGCCTCTGCACACGTGTGTGTCACTCAGTCTGCACAGATGTGTATGGTAAAAACATTCACATGTCTTCCGCTGCACAGCCTGTGCCATCTTACTGCATATCTTGAAGGTTTCTTTTTCAGTTCATGTAACATTTACACACTAGCTGTTTCATTGTCAGAATCTTACTTTGCAGTGTATTATTTGGAAATTGGGGAGTGGTCTAACATCTCTGACTTGCTCACTTGCTTGCTCTCTCCCAAAGTCAAGGTTCTTAATTCTCTTTAATTATCTACAAAGTCTCTTCAACAGTTTACATTCCTTTCTGGTTTATATATATTATATATGTATTATACATTTAGGAGCTTCCATAAGTATAACTGCTGCTTTGGATATTTCAATCATTAAAGTTCCTTTACAGTTTTTAATTTTTTTTTTAATTTGGTTTCTTCATCCCTTTTTATGTGACTTTAGTTATGTCAAAGAATTTTTAGGAAAAAAATGGTTTTTTCTACAATTTTTAAGTGACAATTTGTATTTTTAAACAGTGATCTTAATAATTTTTAATGTCTTTCTGAATTCTCATCAAAATCATGTTGTTGTATAATTGTCGAGAGCACCAAATACAAAAAAAATTATATCCCATCAACATTATAAAGAATAGACATGACTGTTTTGTGATGTACCATTTTTATCTGAATAACTATGTGAGTCACCTAATGTTATGCCTCCATTTTGCTAGCAGTAGACTCAGAATAATAACTATTTCTTCTGAATTTGTATTTTTCTTTAAGTTAATAAATTAATCATGTGAGAGAGGACCTAATTTTTTATAAACCCCTGTGTTTAAGTAGTAAGTGGAAATACCTTTAAGAATGTTAGCAGTAACTAAAATTTGGTGTGTACCAAGCACTGTTCTGATCCCTGTTTATTCATTTAATCTTCACAACAACAACATTTAAGAAGTTATAATTATTAGCCCAGTTTTACAGATGAGAGAACTAAGGCCCAGGGAATGCCTGAACAAGTAMCAGAGCCATAATTTGAGCCAAAACATTCTGACTCCTAGAGTCTGGAAGCCTTTGTAATCAGCCCCCTGTCATGGCTTAAATATTTTTTTGATTCACTCCAATACCAGACTTGTTTATATAAATTATTTTTTAATTGAAGTCGTTAAGATTGGAATTATATAATGTCCAGGATTTGCTTTAAAATATTCAGATAGGGGCAGAAATGAGACAAATAGTTATACCAGAAATTGTTGAAGTTGAATGACTCATTATACTTTTCTCCACTTCTGTGTGTGTTTGAAATTTTTCATAAGGCCTTTTTAAGTTATTTTCCTCATTAAACTAAAAAGTTCTATAGTATTTTTGTTTGTTTTAATCTTAGTTTTTCTTCTGAGTGTAAATTTGTTACATTGTTAAACTAATATTTAGATATTTGACTAGCCTTTCTTACAATATTCATTTTTTAGCAAGTTATTCAGTAGTAGTCTGTTTTAATGGTGAAGAACAATATTCATTTTTTGAGTTCTGTGTTTCTCCATCTTAAAACGTAGAAATACTGTTCTGTGAGAGGGCTTAACTTTGTCCGGGCTTGTATGAAATCATTKCACCTAAACACACATTTAGTGTAGTCTGGTTTTGTTTTTACAGGAGCCAAGCAATAAAAGAGTTCGACCTCTTGCTCGGGTCACATCCTTGGCAAACTTAATCTCTCCTGTAAGAAATGGAGCAGTCAGACGTTTTGGTCAAACAATACAGGTAAAAAAAATTAATTTATAAATGGATACAGGGAAGGGTAAGGGGTACAGTCAGGAGACTTTCTATAGGAGCCTAAAAGTTGTATTTTTCTTTGAGCTATACAAACATGTTTGCACTGTTAATATTCAAACATATGAGTTTTCTTTTTGGAATCTGCTGGTAAGTAATAATATTAGCAGAACAGTGTTTATATAACCTGTATTGAACTAAGATGCATCAAAAGATAGTCTTAATTTTTATTCTCAAAAAGTAATTTGAGCTGACAAGTATTTATATAAATTATAGATTGAAACTTTGGCAAATGATTGATTTGCATTGAGAAACTCAGAACTTTTTCTTCTTTCTTCACTTAAAGAACGATAATTATTGTAGCCTCCAAATCTCATTTTTTCTTTTATTTGCCTCTTTCAGTCGTTTACCCTTCGTGGTGATCACAGATCCCCAGTCTCTGCCCAGAAGTCATCTAGCAGATCAACAGTCCCAACACCAGCCAAGAGAAGAAGCAGTGTGCTATGGTCAGAGATGTTAGACATCAGCATGAAGGAGTCTTTGACCACCAGAGAAATCAAACGTCAGGAGGTATGCTGGCTTTCAGCACCAAGAGCATCTTTATTGGCTTATACTAAGAAAAAAGACATGCTTTTTAAATGTCTTGCCAAAAGAATAGCATAGTAATGAGTATGACAAAATTAACTTGCATTTTTTATATTTGAGTAAAAATTTATAACTCATATTGAACAATTCTTTGTGATGGGTGGTCGTCATCAACTTGAACAACTCTAAAGGATAAAATTATAAAACGTATAACAACCTTTTATTTGAGATTCCATTCCGAATTATAGTTTTCAGACTTAAGTCACTTAAAAAAGAGCTGTTCAAATCATTAGTTAAATATAGATATCAATTATAAATAATTTTCCTTTCTCAAAGAAAGCAATGACTTCTGATGTTTGCTGGGTGTTTTCTAGGCAATATATGAAATGTCCCGGGGTGAACAGGATTTAATTGAGGATCTCAAGCTTGCAAGAAAGGTTAGTAGATCATTTTTTATCAGGAACCCAAGTTTTTAAAAATTACATTTCARAAATTCTGAAGAATAGGTTTATTAACCTTTAAAAATAGTAAACGAGAAAATATCTACTGATAAATATAGTTTGGGATGAGATTTAGACATCTCTCTTCAAATGAGTATTAGAGAGTCTTTGGGGGGGATTGATATATACTTTAATTTCTTCTATGTGTGGCAAACAGAGTCCACACTGGCTTTTATGTATTCATATACTTTCAGGTGCATCACTCATCACGTTTGCTTTGCTTGATCTTTGTATGACACATTTCTCCTTCTGATTAGGCCTACCATGACCCCATGTTAAAGTTGTCTATCATGTCAGAAGAAGAACTCACACACATATTTGGTGATTTGGATGCTTATATACCTCTGCATGAAGGTTAGATATACTACTTAATTTTCATAAGTATCTAAACAGCAGTAACACAAGTAATTTTAAATCTAAACAAGTAATGTAGTTCTCACCTGTTTTAAAATCTTTATTCCTTTTGCTTTTTTGTACTTCAGATTTGTTGGCAAGACTAGGAGAAGCCACCAAGCCTGATGGAACAGTGGAACAGATCGGGCACATTCTTGTGAACTGGGTACGCATAGAGTTGTTGATCCCCCTCAACTTTTTGTAGATTTGCCCTACAACAGTTTTTGATGGATAGCAAAACAATTTGATCGCATAACTAGATTCTACAAAAAGAAAAAGCACTAAAACTAACTAATTGTATGATAAAAAGGTTACCTTTTTTTGAAATAAATAAATAAAACTTCATTAATGGTACAATTTGATCATCTTACAAATATATTTACAGATATGTTCCTGCCTGGACAGAATTTCCACATTATATGCTGTTGATTACCTGTTGCATTCCTTCACTTAAAAATTCAAGTGCCTGCTAAATGCTAGRCACTGTTCAAGGAAGGGACACTAGGGATTCCATAGTGAAAGACCTGCATTTATACCCTTGTCAGGGAATAGTTGAACCCATAAACAGTCTCAGGGTCAGTGAAGAATATGATTGAAGATGCTCAGGTGTCCTAGAACTCCCAACAACTGACATCAAAGAGTAAAAGTCATATGAGTGAGTCTTCAATTGAATTTAGCCAACTTAAGGAACTCATCAAAGAGTGTTGTGATGTTGGTCCAGAATACTTTTCTGCTCCCATTATCATCTCTAGAAAATGTCGACAGCTGGTTAAAACTCAAGCATAGCTATACTGTCATTCTGCATTTCATGTTCACAGGCTTATGGATGCACTCGGTCATAGCAGGAATGCATCTTACTTGTTTTTATTACTCTTCAGTTACCAGGCTTGAATGCCTACAAAGGCTACTGCAGTAACCAGCTGGCAGCCAAAGCTCTTCTTGATCAAAAGAAACAAGATCCAAGAGTCCAAGACTTTCTCCAGCGATGTCTTGAGTCTCCCTTCAGCAGAAAACTAGATCTTTGGAGCTTCCTAGATATCCCTCGAAGTCGCCTAGTCAAATACCCTTTACTGTTAAAAGAAATTCTTAGACACACTCCAAAAGACCACCCTGATGTTCAGCTTCTGGAGGAAGCAGTAAGTAGTCCATTAAATGAATCCTTCATTTTTCATTCATATACTGGGGTGCCTTAGAAAAGTATAGAATGTACTCTGAAATCTTACATGTATTGAATCAGCATAGCAAAGGGTTTTATTGTTTTTAAGAACCAAATAATAAATGTAATGTGCACTAAGTAATAAGGAGATGCACATCTGTCATAATTATATTTTACATTTATATTTTAGTCTAGGGACTGGGTTTTAATCTAGTCTTTTCYGCTAGCTGTTAACTTCAGACAAATCACCCAGTTTGAGACTGTTTTTCTTCATTTGTATAATGAAAAGACTGACTGAATTAATTGATTCAAGCCTTTAATTTTATCATTTCATGTGACATTATTATTCCATAGGGAAGCAGGATAAGTTAATATACAAAAGTTACTCCATCCATTTCTTAATTATTTGTAGGTAGTGATAATACAAGGAGTTCTCTCCGATATCAACTTGAAGAAAGGTGAATCTGAGTGCCAGTATTACATTGACAAGCTAGAGTATCTGGATGAGAAACAGAAGGACCCTAGAATTGAAGCAAGTAAGGTGCTTCTGTGCCACGGGGAGTTGAAGAATAAAAATGGACATGTGAGTACATCTCAGTATTAACAGGAAGTAAGCCATTATTTTCTTTTTCACACCCAGCTTAACTTTTTGCATGTAAATTATGAAGCAAGTTTATGAAAGTAAATTCATAGCATAATGAAAGAAGATAACTGATTTTTATTCTGTTATCAGTTTTGATAAAGCAAGCATTTGTTTTCAACAGTAATAGAATAACTGACTTAAATGTCTCAGAGAAGAATTAGTAACATTCATTTTCCAGTTTTGAAGTATAAATCAATTTGTTTAGCTAAGGGTTCTTTCCTAAGTTCTGTAATGTTTAATAAAAAGAATCCTTGAAGAGTATAGAGTTATGGAAGTAGTTTTTAGCACTACTCAACAAATTTCTACAGCAGATTGAATGGAAGCAAATTTATTTTTGAAATATTTACAAAAGTACTTACTAGGACTAAGTTTAGTCATGAAATAATATTTTCATTTTATTATGTGCTGTTTAAAAGCACAGTGTGTAAGTTGAGGTCTACTTAGAAAAGTTGAAAGCTGACATCTCCGATTTCCATCACAAGGCATAATTGTTTTACAAAGGTTTAAATTTCTGTGGACAAAATGGAATCATTAACATTCATCTGGCTTGCATTTTTTAATTCCTACTTTTTTAGAAAACTGAAATGAAATAGTGGTGATTCAAGTCATGAGACTGCTAATAGGTCTTTATGATGCATAGTTTACTCAACTGTTGCCTAATAGCACACAATAATAAAAAAAAAAAATGTATCAAGTCTGGATTGAGTTTTCCAAATAAAACATGCAGTCGTGAAATCATTATTTTATAAAGTCAAAGAAAGATCTTAGTTAAATAAATTTGATGAAATTAGTATTGTTAAATCAAGTTTTTAACAGTATATTTCAGTCACTTGAAATCAATGAAGTTTCATATTTAAAAAACACTTGTTTCTCATTTCTCTAGAAACTTTACATATTCCTGTTTCAAGACATCTTGGTTCTGACCCGGCCTGTTACACGAAATGAGCGCCACTCCTACCAGGTTTACCGGCAGCCCATCCCAGTCCAGGAGCTGGTGCTAGAAGACCTGCAGGATGGGGATGTACGCATGGGAGGCTCCTTTCGAGGGGCTTTTGGCAACTCAGATAAAGGTAGAATACAAGTTTTGAAATTTAAGCTCAGAATCTAAATAAATCTAGTTTTAACTTTTTTAAGAATTCTAAAATGAAATGATTCTCTTATCCTGTGCTCATTACACACATTGAGCTATCAAGTGCTTTGTGACTGTGATGGCTCACTTTAACAGTGTGCAAGTTACAGATGTCCTAGTGCCTTTGTTAGGACTATATGACCATTTTCTTTAAACAATTTCTTAAATCTCATTTCCATTTTTTTCAATTTTTATTTTTACAGCTAAAAATATCTTTAGAGTCCGCTTCCAAGACCCCTCTCCAGGCCAGTCTCACACTCTGCAAGCCAATGATGTATTCCATAAGCAGCAGTGGTTCAATTGTATCCGAACGGCCATTGCCCCTTTCCAGCAGGCCGTCAGTCCACCAGAGCTTCAGGGTTTGCCAGAGCTCCATGAAGAGTGTGAAGAGAACAACCCTTCTGCTGGGAACCTCAGAGCCCAGAGAAGGGCGTCCACAGTTTCCAGCATGATGCAGGTAGAAGGTGATGAAAACGCCTCAGAATTTAGCTCCAGCTTGCAGGCGGCAGACACCAAGAGTGCAAAAGCACACCGGACACAGGCTGGCTTCCGAAGAGCCAGAGACAAAGCCCAGCTCTGCGGCAAACGGAAGGAGACTTTGGTGTAAAGGAAGCTCTGTGTATTAACTGGTGGAGAGATTGTTTATTTATAAATGTGTACAGTTTTGTTTTCCTTGTAATGGGAGCGTGGGCACATCATAGGGTTACTTTGTACCAGTTGTAACATTTTCATGGTTTGGGGTTCTTTTTATGTCTTGTTTTTGTTTTTGTTTTAATGGCAGCTAAAGATATGCAGATTACTGTTAAATTGCAGACTTTTTTAAAAAAGGATATTTTCTCAGATTATTTAGATTGTGCAAGCCTGGTATTTTTAATCAAATGAAATATTTAGGAACTGGGTTTCCTCCTAATTCTGAATTTATCATAACTTTCCAGTAACAACAATTATGATATTTACAGTGTCAGCCAAAACAGGATTTTTCAAAGACTGGAATTCTACCAGTTTCTTTATTAAGGCTTGCTTGCAAAATWTGAAATTTTAACATTGGCACCTAGATTTTATGTTTGAAGTATCTCAAAATTTATGTTGAAACAGCTTCCTGGAAAACAAACCACAAAACTTAACAAGTTTTCCATTTTATCAACTGGAATGCTATATATTAGCTTGTTTTTCACTGCACATTCCTCATTTTTCATTCATTTATCCTGCCAGTTATTTAATTTTTTTATTGTAAAGTAGTTTTTAGCATTTGCTTTTATTTTTTTACTTTAATGCCTTTTCAGATTGGCATGTCTTTATTTTTCTTCCTGATTAAAAATGTGTGTATGTGTGTGTGTATGTGTGTGCGTGATATAAATATATATATATTTTTTTTGTGGTTTTTTTTTTTTTTAATTGTATTAACTTTGCCAAGTGAAACCAAGCCATACTGTTTTTGAGCCAATTAAGAAATTGAAATTTTTACAGTGTAGCATTTCAGGGTGGTGAAGACGCATGAAATGACTCCATATAATCTAGACTACTGAAAGAAAAACCACTTCAAGGAATTCATTGAAAGTTTTAGTGTTGTCTGTAAAGCAAGAGGGAAGGCAATTGACTGGTACTAAGTAAAAGAAAACAGAGGGGAAAAGAGAGTAGTATTGTCTTAAAGTAAAAATGTCTGGTTGTGCCAGAGGATGAAAGGAGATAGAAAAGCTCTTTTTGAGGGTGTGTAGTAAGTTGTAGAAGGCTCGAGGGGATGTGGACTTTATTTGCCTTGGTTTATGATACCTGCAAATAAGTTTGAAAAGAAACAATGAAATGTGTTGAAATTTTGGCCATGTTGGGTCAATTTTGGTGGATTTAGTCATAAAGTGGAAAAAAGACTTCTGGATCTTAACTGCAAAATGTTTCTGTTATAATGAGACGGGGAGAAAAGACTAAAAGTTCTGTGTCATTGCAGGTTTGTAATGGTGATCAGTTCAAGTCAATATTRACTATTATGTGAAATATATTTGCCAGTAGAAGTGAAAATTGGAAAAAAATTGTAAATAGATCAATCAAATGATTTCTCTGTATAAACGAATTATACAATTAAAAAAAAAGCACACACATAATCACTGAAGATTTCTTGCCTGGTGGATGTTTTGGGGCACCTGCTAGAACATGTTTGTTTGTATGGCAAAGGAAATAGATGATTRGCAAGTCTCAGAAAAATTTATAAAAATCACAAATAAGTCTTTGAAATTAATTGATGAGTAAGAGAAAGGTTCACTTAGGTTAGGTCTGCGAATCTTGTGTAATCTTTTAAGAACTCTACAAAGTATAAACAGCAACTGCAATCATATTGAAGACACTGCACACCTGATCACTTTATGGATAGAATAGTAAAGCCAACAGCAAAGCGTTCTACTTTGTTTAMTTTCTGATTTGACTTAAATACCTCAGAAGTGTAGATTACACCATTGATTATGATCTGCAACACTGGAAATCAAGATTTCTGCTCCTTTCTTGGAGATGTTACATAGACTATCCATTCCTTAATTACCTTAATCAACTTCCAAAGTTATAGAAGCAAAGGGTAGCTCAGACATCATAAATAGAAAGATTCTATATCTGAAGCTATATCTTCCTTTGGTTCCCGCAAGGGAGAAAATAGAAAACAGTAAATACATGAAATCAATGTTCTTCAGAAATTACATTTATGTTTGAGAGCATTTGATGATCTAGCCCAGTAGTTCTTACAAAAATTTTTCCCCCATACCAGGGATTGAACTCAGGGGCACTGGACCACTGAGCCACATCCCCAATCCTATTTTATATTTTATTTAGAGACAGGGTCTCACTGAGTTGGTTAGTACCTTGCTGTTGCTGAGGCTGGCTTTGAACTCTAGATCCTCCTGCTTCAGCCTCCCAAGCTTCTGGGATTACAGGCATGTGCCATCGTGCCCAGCTAGCCCGGTAGTTCTTAAACATGTTTGAGCATCAGAATCACCAGGGATACTTTCAAAAAGTAACTTGAGGCTTCCCCCCTAACCTCGCACACATTTACACCATTTCACTGAGTCTTAAGGGTTTTGTGTGTGTGTGTGTGCACCCAGTTTGTTTTAACCTGTTCAGACTTGCATCTGAAGAGAATCTAATCTACTTCTTTCAGTATGCTCACAATTTGCAGCAAAGGATAGTTTTCTACCCAGAAGATCTTGTTAAACTCAGTGCCCCATCTCAGAATGTATGCACACAAAGTAATGAGGGGAAACCAAGTCATCTAAGTAGCAATCAGTGGGATGACAGTGTCACTAAATCATCCTGCAATCTATTAAGACACAGCTCCTCCACTGACCCCGTAAGTGTTCAGCTACTTGTGTGCTAGTTAGGTCTACTTTGTGTTTAATGCTTTTCTGAGTATGCAGATTCAGCAGGATACATTTTGTTTTCCAGTATATGTGGCTAACTATAATGTTAATAGTTTTGCAGGATTCAGATATTGCCTAGTTAAGTCTCCTATCTATAAATTTTGATGATTGACATAAAGACCTAAAATGGCCATCTACTTTCATCATCATCCTCATTTTTATACACCTCATTTGAAATGCTTGCCTGTCCCTAGAGATGGAATTGGTTGGTAATAAGCATGTCCTAAGGATTCAAAGCAGATAACTAAACCTACAGACCAGCTTTTTCAAATTGGCCTGAAAGAACACCTACAAAGAGTTAATGCCCCTTTGTCCATGGAACATCTAGTCCCCCTGAGAGGAACATCCCGGTAAATTAATCTCCCTAGATTATTTGGGGTCCAGAATAGTTTTATTTTTTTCTGCACATCTCAGCAATCCTCAGAATCAACCACAAGACAGACCTCATGCATTGATGGTTACTCATACCCAGTTGTACTCTCTTATTGTGTATTTTGAGACTCTAAACATAGACCCTTTTTCCAAGAAAATGTGTCTATGCATCCATACAACTTAGGGGTTCAGGAAGATCCCAAATCACTGTGGTCAAGTTCAGATCTGCTCAAGTCTGCCCTGACAAAGACTCTTAGAACACCTGCTGGAGAACAAGATTTTGCTTTTTCCCTGTAGGTTCTGAAAACATTGATACTACCCTTGCTATGCAAATAAYAGATGAAAACTTTCATCTTCCATACTTGCAGTTGGTCTTCAAAGCCATACTTGTGACAAATTTGACTGTTCTGGATATAATTATCTTCAGGATGATGCAAAAATAAAGTGTGCTTTTTGTATAATACTTTCAGTGTGCTATCAGTCCTAGGTTCACAATGGTTCGCCTTTCTGAGCCTTGTTCTCTCCAGAAACTCCTGCTCTGCTTTCCCAGAAGATGGGCTAATGGTGAGGAGACTTGAGTGAAACYAAGTTCCTTTTCTGAGCATGAGGTGACTGTCCAGTATCTCAGTACACAGGTTGTCTTACGATGAATAATGTATTATTTTAAAAGTATTTGAGGCAGAACATCAGGATAAAACTATRATAGATTAATTAAAACATCAAATATACTTAAATCTGTAGCTTCATAATGACTCTTTAATCTTATGATCCCCTTTGGAATATCTCAGGGAACCAATTTACTGCTTTGCAACCTGGTAAATAAAAGAATCAAGCATTTACCCTAACCTTTCCTCTACAAACTAACCCTCAGGCTAACCAAGTAGCTGAGAAAGGTCAGATTCTCCTCATAGCAGAAGCCCAACTGATGGAGAATATGGCATATCGCCACATGTAACCCTCATGAACCATGGACCAAGAGGTCCTAGTGTGACTAATGAAGGACACAACACAGGAAGACAGGCACTGCTACCTCCTAAGAAGTGCACACCACCTAAGCAGTCATGACAAGGTCAGGCCTGAGCCATTAAGACAAAAGTTGCTTCAACAAAACAAACAGTAAAAAGAAAAAAAAAAAAGATGGAGGAGTTTGCAGAATCTGACTTAAATCTCAAACAACTGCATCATATTGACCTGATTTGCATCTAAACCAAATAAAGTTTTTAAGTAAAATCATCAGGGAATTACCCAGAATCAAGTGTATATTTGAAGTAGTTACTTTATGTTTAACAATGGTAGCTCAATGGTAGACCATCTCCTTAGCATGCATGAGGCCCTGCATTCAATTCCCAGCAGCAAACAGAAATATAATAAGTGATGTCTGGGATGTCCTTCAAAATATGGGGCAGGAAAATGGTTGAGAATAAAAAGGAAATGAGATTGGCCGTAAACTGTTCTTTGCCTATATCTTTGTACATGTTTGGAAATTCTCTAAAAAACTAAGTTAAAGAGAACATGAAATTTCAGCTGTCACTTATGCTTCCAGTTCCTCGACCTCTTCATTCCCTCAGAATCTCCAACCTTTACTTTCCAAAATAAAGGCAGAATGTTCAGTGATGTGGCTGCATTTGCCATCTCACAGAAACCCACATCATTTTCCTGAACTTCATACTTGCGCTCTCTCCATTACAACTGGGCCATAGCATTAGCCTAACCTGATTCTGGCTTAGTCAATATGACTGTGGTCCTCCTCTCTTTGTCTCTCAGTATTGTGTGTTGCCTTTTTTTTTCTGTGCTTCTTTTTTCTCCTCCACACAAACATCTATGTGCGCCAAGGCATTGAAGAAGCAGTACAGTGGTTCCTCGTGGCTTCCCTATTCATGGTTGGCCATGGTCCAGATATAGTAAATGAAAAATGGCAGAAATAATTCATATGTCTTAAAATTGTTCACTGTTCTGGATAGCTTGATGACATCTCTCTGTCTATCCTGGATGTAAATCACCCCTGTGTCCCACACCCATGCTGTATGTGCTATCTTAGTTGTCGTCTTGGTTATCCTATTGACTGTCACAGTATCAACAGGACTTGTGTTCAAATAACCCTTATTTTCTTTATTCATGGCCCCAGAACACAAGGGTAGTGATTGATATAACTCTAGCAACACTGATGGACATATAGGAAAAAACAGGATTCAGTACTATCCACTGGGAATCTCAAAACCTCCCCTGTGGACAAAGGGAAACTGCTATATAGTTTCCAGGTCTTCCAGGGAAGCAACTGCATTCAGCCTGTCTGAGAATTCCTACCAACGGCTAGTTTACTAACTATATTACCATCTTTAAAGGAGATAGTGTTGCAATATCTGATAATGTTTGTGCTGTTATTTAGATCTGAAAGTAAGACAAAATTAGCTAGATTCAAAGAGTTCTGATAATCTCCCATAGAATTCAGATTTCTCAACAGCTGCTCCTGGGGGCAGGTGGAAGGGTTTTTAATTTCCCTCTTTTACTGAACTGACAAGCAGGGACAGATCTATCAAGTTACACCTGGAAATCCACAT